ATTAGAAGGATTTCTGAAGGATCACGTGACACTGAAGACTGGAGTAAAAAAACTGTAACATATCTAACCAGACATTTCATGTAATTTTACAGTAAAATGCTGTTAATTTTACAGTTTTTAGAAGTAAAAATAACAAATCAATGTATAATTTACAGTCAAAAACTGTAAACTGATATTCCCAGAATTCCCTGCATGATACTCCACATTTGAAAGTATTTTGTTTAAATCATGTTTTTTTAATAGTTTTTGTTATTAGTTATGTATATTTGGGCTTTATGTTACATCTTCTGTTGTTTAATGCATTATTTAAGTATCATGTGTGTTACCATGATGGTGTTTTGTGTTTGCATGAATGACTCTGTGCACCTTCTATACTTCTGCTTGTGGCGAAGCTACTTGTGATGAGCTTTGATTCTTCATGTGGCTTTCTCTTTTACCACCTGCATTATTATGGTGGTTGTCAGTATGTTAAAGGTACAAAACAGATTTTAATAGCAGTGTGCATTGTTGAATTTACTGGTTTACATTCAAATTTTCTTGTTTGTAAATTAAAGTTTTATACTGTAAAATTTACAGGTTTTGGCCGTAAATGTGTTTACAGTTTTTCTGTATTTTTTACAAAATTATTCTGGGAACCACAGCTGCCAAAATTATTTTGTAAAAACTACAGAATTTTTTTTTACAGTGTAGGTAAAAAGATTGCATAATGAAACTGCCAAAAAAGTTTTTTTGAAATGATCTGTTACAAATAACTAATTAATTAATACTCATTACTAATTAATTAACGATTCAGTTGTTCTGGTGCACCCTGCTTCTACTGCAACTTTTACAGGCAACATCATTGAGAAGGTTGTTTTCAATAAGCCAAATAACTTAACTCAAACAGTTACTTGGACAATTGCCAATCTGGTGTCCCATCACATTACAGCACACAGACCATGCTTCTATTCAACTAAATATTGAGTCAGGTAAAATATCATTGCTGATCTTACTGATTTTTAGTGCTGCACTCTCAATCACAATACACTCTTAGACAAACTGGAAAACTGGATTTGTCTCTTTTAGGTCATATCTTGAAGACAGGGGTTACTGTGCAAACATAGACAACGTTAAATGGACCTCAATGACGTGGTGTCCCCCAAGGTTCGGTTCTTGAACCTCTCCTATTCAGTCTGTATGCAGTCTAGTCAAAAATTAGGCACAGGGTCAGGGCAAGCAGCTTTGTGTTCTGATTCAAATAACATGAACCCCTTGCGCAGGTTTCAATTGTCATTCACTTCTTTGATAAGAATAAATCATAATACCAATAAATATTTACATGTGTGGTTTTGTGCATGTTGTTTGTATTAATCCCCATTTCAAAAACACTTCAACTGACCATTCCACAATAATATTAATTTATTTTTAAACATATGCCTACATGAACCATGCTTATTTTTTCATTCATTTATTCACATACTTATTTATTCATACTTTGTATATGTACAATGACATTTATTTATTTATTTTTTTGCTTTATATGGTTTTCATAGCACAAATTGAGTTATTATTTGAAACTGGGACGCAAAGGCACCATTTTCCATGTTGAAAAGCGTTGAGTAATGAACCATTTTACGATACAGTTGAAGGGAAAGCCTCTGTGCTTCACAAAGCTTCATTTCACCATCACTAAATAAAAGAAATATCCAAGCAGGCAGCAAAGTGTCATAACAGTTCAGGGTCAAATACGGGCAAAGCAAACAGTAACAGAATAACGCTCAGAATTGTCAGTCAGAGCAAAAGAAGATCTCACAATGAGACTGTGGAGGTGTCCAGGCAATGGGGAACAGGTGAGATAGCATCCAGTTATGGGGTTTATGGGAAATGGAGTCCAGGGAGATAATAGTCAATACTCAGGTGAGGGAGCCCTCTGGCGATGAGCTGGAGGATCTACAGAGGCTAGATTGATGACACTTGAAGTACAATGATTGGAACTTTTTTTTAAAAAGTGTTAATGTTTTTAAAAGTCTCTTATGCTCACCAAGGCTGCATTTATTTGATCAAAAATACAATAAAAACTGTAATATAGTGAAATATTACAATTTGAATGAACTATTTTCTATTTGAATTTAAAAAATATATTTTTTTTTGAATTTTCAGCATCATTACTCCAGTCTTCAGTGTCACATGATCCTTCAGAAATCATACTAATATGCTGATTTGCTGCTCAAGAAACATTTCTGATTATTATCGATGTTGAAAACAGGTCATGCTGCTTAATATTTTTGTGGAAACCATGATACACAACCCTTTAAAAGTTTGGGGTAAGATTAAAAAGAAAAGAAAAGAAAAAAATCAATACTTTTATTCAGCAAGGACACATTAGTTTATTAAATGTGAAAGTATAAAGATTTTTATAATATTACTAAAAAAGTAATTTTCCAATAAATACTGTTCACTGAACTTTCGATTCATCAAAGAATCCTAAAAAATTATCATGTTTCTACAAAAACATTGAGCAGCACTAATAATAAAAATAACCATTATTAATAAATGAGCACCAATAATAACTGAACAGCAAATCTGTATATTAGAAGGATTTCTGAAGGATCACGTGACACTGAAGACTGGAGTAATGATGCTGAAAATTTAGCTTTGCATCACAGGAATTTGATTTAAATTTTAAATTAATGTCATAATTAATTATTAAATTAATTAAAAATATATTCAAATAGATATCAGTTATTTTAAATTGTATTAATATTTTACAAAATTACTGTTTTTACTGTGTTTTTGATCAAATAAATGCAGGCTTGGTGAGCATATAGAGACTTCTTTCAAAAGCGTTAAAACATCTCAACTCACCATGCATTTCAACAGACACTTGGACAGTTTACTTAGGATCCCTGTTTGATTTGACCGACAAAAAAGAGAAAATATTACAGGGTTAGAATGACTTAAGGCTAAGTAATGATAAAGTTATGAGGGGAACTATTGCCAAATATGTCACAATGATCGGCTTGCAAAAGTTGATGGCACTTTATTATGTTTTCAGAATATCCTTTGCTTTGTGCAGTGCATCTGTTCGCCTATCTATAAAAACTGTTCTTTACTTCAAGGTGCTAGTTTCACCCTATGTTTTAGCTTGTGATCACTGTGATAGTGACATTAACTGCTTTATTTAAACATGCCCCAGGTGTGCAACATCTGTTTGTGGTATACCCCGGAAGTCTTTTTCCACTTCCAAAAACGGTATACTACCGTAAAATTAATGTCCAATACATGTAATGTCCAATACAGTTTTTCACCGTATATAGTAGGGGAATTTACCGTTAACCATTTAACAGGTTTTTACTGTCACATTTTTACAATCTTTTACCGTTAAATTCACGGTCATTTTTTAGATCAGTGTTTGTGTGCACATGCAAGTTTAAGCATATAAATGAGCCCATTGATGATTGAACTTCTTCAGACAGGTTCATGTTCGCATTATTCTCAGTACATTGTACAAAAACTCTGAGTTCCATTAGTTTTAAGTTACTATAAAGCAACAACAAGTGAATGCGTGTTTTTGGCGATGAGCAATAGACCCAAAGGAAAGACAAATCACAAATAATATCATTTCTTTCACCTAAATAGAGCAATATGATTAAATGAGGAACAAATGGAGACTTTTGCTAATGTCTTCTGCTTTTCAGATTTTTCTCTTGAGAATCCATCCCCTCAGTAATTTCACGTTTCCTTTAAAGTCTAAAGAGGAATATTAACAATGTCTCAAACCATGCTTGCATTTGCCAGGATACTAAAGTCTGAAATCAACTTGAAGATCTCAATAGCTATGGTTCCATCCAAAAGTTGCCAATTTAACTTATGCGCAAAATTAGAATATTACATTTGCCAATAAAGCACTTTCCATCCCATGCTCAAGAGAATAAAATCATCACTTCCAGGGAAACTGGGAGAAAGTATCAATAATAAAAATGAAAGTTGCTGCAACCGGGGAAGCCCATGGCTCTTTTTTTCTTACTAAATAAACAACTTTCGCAATAATAAAAGCTGTCTGGTTATTTTAGTTCTGGAATTCTGTTCTGTGAGACAGTTATAAGAGGTGATTATACCAAATCACTTTGATGACCAACTTTGGCTCAGGCATTTTTAAAATGATGAAAATAACATTTGAGATTGTGTGCGACGAGATAGGTGTGCTGTTTAGTTCAGTTATCTAATCGCATGATCTGCTGAAGCAAAGTCACATGATTTTTTGATGAGTATCAAGGAATTTATTCAGCAGTTTATGTGCATGTTTTCTTACTTAAAAAAACATTATAAGATCTAATTGAGCATATAAGTTTTTTTTATGAACATTATTTGAATTTATGCACACCTTGGCATTTCCATCCAGTGTTTAATATGCAATATTCCAAAATTCACAAAAAAAAATAGGTGGATGTAAACATATGTATGCTGATGTGAACTCAACCATTATTCATCAAATTCTCACAAATCCAAATGATCTAATGCTCTCCACATTCATTTTATTGTTCTGTACAAAAATTTAAAAAATGTAAAAAAAAAAAAAAGGAACCGAAAAATGGGAACATTTAAATTAACACCTAAATTAATATTATTTCAACCTAAATACATTAATTTATACCAACACTTTTTTTTTATGGGTTAAAACAGATATAATAGCTCTTTAATGTAACAATTGCAGCACTTTTTATGCCACTATTAATGTAGCATGTCAATGTTTGCCTTATTTGTGTGTCTCATGCATTCATTACCTATGTTGGTTGTTTAAATTATCTAATTGCTGTAATAAATGTTTTTTATATATATTCTTTGATAAACTTTTGTCCATTTATCATATGTCTTAAGTGTCAATTTTTCGAAATTGAGATTTATACATCATCTGAAAGCTGAATAAATAAGCTCTCCATTGATGTATGGTTTTGTTAGGATCGGACAATATTTGGATGAGATACAACTATTTGAAAATCTGGAATCATCGCAGCCGACGCTCAGTCTGGAGTTTATCGACACGGACTGCCGAGAAAATAACTTATTAAAGACTCGAGCGCGAGTAGAAGCGGTCAAGAGAGTTCACACTTACAGCGAAGTGCGTTTAAGAGTTGACTGAAGGGGACCGAGCTCGCTGCTGTTGTGTCTGGAGTGAACGAGCGACTGAACCTGGCCCCGCTGTTACGGCTCCAGCCTACATCGAAAACGAATACTTCACTCTAATTGAATGGTAAGTGCGTTCATCATAATTAATGGAGAAGTGTTATTGGTGCTAAATAATGAACTCAAGTCTTACAATATTGTGAAAACTAATTGTATTTTTTGTTAGAAGTGTTTAAATCGGTAGTTATCGCGCTAATGTTTGATAGATGTGACACTTCACCAAATTATGGTTTCATTTTCTAGTTTTCTCAAGCAAAATTACTAGAGTTTCTGCGAAAATACAATGCTTATTGTTTATATTGTAAAGTAGTAATTAAGCTTTGTGTTTATTTATGTATTTATGTATTTATAACTGACCTCAGTTCAGCTGTAGTAACTAAAACTCTGATATTTGGCGGTTACCATAGTGATTTTTTTTTGTAAGGATCTCTGTCTGAAGATTGAATAAAAATCTGCCAAATGTATATCAACTATACAAACTGAAGAGTTTATAGTGTGCTAACTTCAACTAGCAGCAGTTATTGTTTGGTTTATTGTTGTATGGTGTGCATAAATATGATTTATCATTGTTTGTTTATTTTGGCACCCATGTGATGTCTGTGCTTAGACTCTTTCTGTCTGGACTGAAGGGGTTGTGTAGTAAACATCTAGACTTGTAACCTAAAGATATAGTTGTAAACCTCCCAAGAGTTGATAAATGTGACCCTAGACGGACCACAAAACCAGTCATAAAGCTGAATAAATAAGCTTTCCATTGATGTATAGTATTGATTTGTTAGGATAGGACAATATTTGGCTGAGATACAACTATTTGAAAATCTGGAATCTGAGGGTGCAAAAAAAATCAAAATATTGAGAAAATCGCCTTTAAAGTTGTCAAAATGAAGTTCTTAGCAATGCATATTACTAATCCAAAATTAAGTTTTGATATATTTACGGTAGGAAATTTACAAAATATCTTCATGAAACATGATCTTTAATTAATATCCTAATGATTTTTGGCATAAAAGAAAAATCAATCATTTTGACCCATGCAATGTATTGTTGGCTATTGCTACAAATATACCCCAGCGACTTAAGACTGCTTTTGTGCTCCCGGGTCACAAATCACCATTGCGTCCTTGATCAACCTCAGGTTACTCCAGGACTGAACCTGTAGGTGTTCAGAGATGTCTGTTCAGCACAAGGAGGTCTGTAATAGTTTGCAGAAAGCCATCTATTAGCATCTCCATCTATCTCAATGGAAGTTACTCACTGTCAAACGCAGCCCCAGAAGTATGCAACCCTCACCCCGTCATGTGTGCTCAGGTCCTGATTTTGCTTTTTATCTCACACTCTTAAAAATAAAGGTGCTAAATAGGGGTTTTGCAGCAGTTGCAATTATTTTTAAGAGTGCAAGTAACCTGAGCCATAAAAGCCATGAAACTGATCACTCTGAAGCTGCAAGAAAATAACATCATGTCAACATTAATTAACTGATGGCAAGAACGCACACAGTTCAAAACCCTACACTAAAGACTGTCCCGAGATTAGGCATGTGACCGATTCAATTTTTAATGTTGTGATAATTGCTGAGGCTTTTATCACGGTATACGGTATTATCATGATATTGGGAAAAAAGTTGCAAAAAAAAAAAAGTGTTGTCATATAACAGGTTTAATAACTTTTTTTCTTATAACAAAAAGAACTGAACAAAGCAATATTTTTCAAAATGTAAAATTTTCATTTACATTTTTTTTTTATTTTTACCCTTGGTGCTTTAATGCTGATAGCATTCTTTTGATTTAGGAGAAGTTCTGTCCTCTCAGAGATGTTGTGTCTTTAAATTGATTTCTTTTAAAGCAGTACAACTACAGCCATACACATTCAGATGGACATTTTTGGCACCTGCATTTTTTGAGTTTCCCGCCAGTTTCTAATGTGTCAATTTAGCCATTGTGCAACTTTGAAAAACGTCTATTTATTGAGCTCAGTGAAGGTGTTTTTATTGAACACGTTTCATGTAAACGTCCTCTAAGAACCGCATCTTATAGGGATCAGGTTTATCGTAAACCAGCCTAATTATTAAGTTTGATAAAGACTGATAATGTGTTCAAGTCATGTCGGAAAGATCGTATTTACCAGTTAAAGGCACATGAACGCCACCAGAAAGTTGTAATGATGAAAATATTGAGAAAATATCACACACAATGGATGCAGCTTCTGTATTTATGGTCAATTTGTTGAAATGTAATGTTTTTTCATTTACAAGTTGCATGTACAAAATACAATTGTACAATCACACTAGAAATAATGGTTCAGTTCCGAAATTGAGTAAAAACATAAAGCAAAAACACACCTAATGTGCATTTTTTTATCAATCGTTTTGTAGAAGTAGAGTTAAAAAAGTAGAGTTGTTTTTGTACACTGTAAAAAATGACCATGAATTTAACGGTAAAAGACTGTAAAAATGCTACAGTAAAAACCTGTTAAATGGTTAACGGTAAATTCCCCTACTATATACGGTGAAAAACTCACCTGCATTTGGTGGTTATCAGTGTATTACAAAGGTACAGAACAGATTTCAGTACTTCAATAGGTCGGTATATTAACATTATATCAGTTAATGAAATTACGGTATTTAACTGTAAATTTAAGTTAAAACCGTAAAACCGTAAAACGTTGCTACCGTATTTTTTACGGTAAAATTCTGGCAACCACAGCTGCCGTTTTTTTACCGTAAATTTTACGGAATTTTTTACAGTGTAGAGTAGCTACATTGTCATCTTGCTTCAGCCAAAGTGATCTGAACAGACCTGACGTCGTAATTACCACTTCCCAACTCATAAACACAAACTTCCCAGAAGTACTTGAGAAAACCATGATTAGCGACTCGTTGTTCTGGCAACCCAATGCTTATGTTTTTGCATCCCTAAAATCAAATGATGGTTTGTAAACATGAGGGCCAGTTACTGGGCTTGTCTAACCGTTATTCCTGTTTGTGAGATATTTTCATCAGTCAAAGCAGTTCAATCCACCTTCACATTCACCTGTCCTGTTCCTCCTCTTTTCTTTTTTGAACTGTGGCTTTCCCCACAATAAAGAGCATCTGTAAACATGCTCATAAAGTTCAATCAAAACATTATAAACCCATCATAACAGCACTCCACCCTGGCTCAAAAACTCACACGTTGGTTTGGCAACAAAGCAGCAGCGCGTAAAGACTATTGGCCCTGAGGGAAACGAAAGAGGGCGAGATTACAGCTATTGAGAGTGACAGCTTTGCTCAGTCCCTCAGAGTGTTTTGGGTGTGTAGAGAAGGCAAGATCGTGCAGCGTTATATAATGGAGGAGTGATTATTAGAAAGCCGCGTGGTGCTCATTTAATGCTCACGCTGTGACCGAGACACTGGGCAGCCTGACCGCTGAATGTGGAGTTGCCATGTGCTGCGCTGTATATGATTATTGTTTTTTTTTTCTTCTCTTTCCCTTTACTGACCACACTTATCGTTAAGCCTGTGATTTACATTTTTTTTTTGCTTTGACAGCAAGTATGTTTGAGATGTTATGCCATCAAGACTTCTTTAGTTAACATGTTTCTTTTGGCTTGTTTAAATGTTATCTGAGACTTAGAATACTAGTCTCAGCAGTTTTTTTAAATAGTGATGTTAAGGCAATTACTACTACTACTACAGCTGCTCATATTTGGGGTTAGGCATGTAAACGCAGTTACGAATGCTTGGCCAACACAATTTAAATGTGCAATCGCATACTTATAGGTATGTGTTTTTGTCATAGCTACCACCTGTTTTTGGGCAAGTCTCGCCACCTTTTGTCAGATGTCTGTCACACACAATGATTAAAGATGGAAGTGGGGTGACAGAGTAACATCACATCATGTAATAAGTAATAATAAAAATAAATGTTTTTGTCCATGCAATAAATGTCAATGGGGGTCCAGTGTTATTTTGAACCCCACTGACTTAGACAAAACAGTTCAAAATACAGAATACAAAATAATGGGTTCGGTAATATTTTTTATTGTTTTTGAAAGAAATCTCTTCTGCTCACCAAGGCTGCATTTATTTACAGTAAAAACAGTAATATTGTGAAATATTATTACAACTTAAAATAACAGTTTCCTACTTTAGCATTCTTGAAGTTGTAATTTATTCCTGTGATGCAAAGCTGAATTTTCAGCGTCATTACTCCAGTCTTCAGACATGATCCTTCAGAAAACGTTCTAATATGCTGATTTGCTGCTCAATAAACTTTTTTTTCAATTAATATTAAAATGGTTGTGCTGCTATTTTTATTTTGAAAACTGTGATACATTTTAGGATTCTTTGATGAATATAAAGATGAATTTAACATTTATTTGAAATAGATTTTCTTATAATAATCTAAATGTATTTTACGAGACTTGTCTATTATAAGACATTTTAAGACATTATGTGTCCTTGCTGAATAAAAATAATTAATTTCTTTAAAAACAAACAAACAAACAAACTTTTGAACAGTAGCATATCTTTTTTGTGTTCCACTGAAGAAAGTCATACAGGTTTGAGTCATACAGGGTGACTAAATGATAACAGAATGTACAGTTTTGTGTGAACTATCCCTTTAAGCATGAAGCATCTGTAACCTTTCCTTGAGAGGGAATTGTTCAAGTTTGAAAGGTGAAAAGAGTCTTTATTTGATCTCAAAGGCTTGCTGTCAGAGCGTCATAGTAGGCTTCTGTTCTAAGCATTACTTTCTCCCTCTTGCTGATTTGCTCATGCACTGTACTTGGCTGATGGATTAACAGTACTATTTTTCTTGCCCACTCCTTTTTCAGGATTTGGTCTGCTTGTGCCACTCCAGTCTTCTCAGCTTTCTAAACCACATCAGCAGGGCCTCTGCGTTCCCAGAAACTGAGCTCCACGCGACCAAACCCGACTTTGTTACCCTGAAAAGGCTCTGGAAACTGAGAACGAAAAACCAGAAGGCAATTCATAAGGCGAAATAGATTTTCCATTTCTCCGACCTTCCGTGTCCGTAACCAGACGGAGAGCTGAAGTCTGCTGATTCTGATGACGTGATTGTTCTGATATCTGGTTACTTGTGGTTCCCTCAGACGTCTGGCTGTCACCTACCTCGACTGTAGCACTATCGAAAGAGAGGATTCTGGGATAGGTTCATGCCGTGGTTGCGCCGCTGTATGGAGGTATAAGGGAGGAGCAGGACTCTTGTGGGACGCTGGTGGAGATCATGGGAAAAGAGCAGGATCTTCTCCAAGCGGTCAAGAATGGAGATCTAGCTACTACACAGAAACTGCTGGCCAAGGTCAAAGCCTGCAAAAGCAGTGAGTAACAGTACATTTCCTCCCTGTCCTATCACTGCATTTGACAAAATGTGTATCCATGAAGATCTTTGCTTTTGCAGACTAGGGCTGTCAAAATGGCTGAAAAACTAAATTTGAATTTTTTACTTAAATATTATCAAAATTCGAATTATATTAGAATTTAAAATGCATCATTTCAGTTAGGGTGAAGAAAAGCTTTTGGCTTCTCTTCTGAGGCCACAAGAGGGCGCATCGAGCAAAATATTACTAATGCACGTTTATTCAAAGCGTAATATAACATGACTATCTGTGAAAAAATAATGTTTAAAATAACGTTTATAAACCAATTATAATTAAGTTGCTTAAACAACTATAAACAAAACAGCATCATGTATGTATGCATAGTTTAATACAAAGGACCGAAAGCCAATCACACAGAGTACATTTTTCATTTAAAAACACGAGTTGCAGTGGGATGGGGAAAAAACCCGGCCATAAAGTCTCGAGATATGGTTTTTCAAAGTTAAACTTGCATTAATTTTACATGGCTTTCTAAACATGCGGCCCTTTTGTGCGAGACGCGAGTGCAACGGTGATAGATGTCCCTCTAGAAAATGCGCTAAATATGCGTTCTGTGTGAACGGCTTGGTTTCAGTTTTTACGTAAACATGATCTTCTCCGCATTGATGTTCTCTTTTCCCGCAATATTTTTAACGAACAACGCAGCAGCGCCGCATCTAGTGGCTTCAACTGGATAGGCTAACAAAAACATTAAAATGCAACGACACTTACATTGTCATCGCATCTCGTGCGCCACTGATAAGGCTGCCTCCTTAACGCACACCTAAAATTCGAATGCAACGTTTTTGCATTCGAATGTGGATTTTTATTTTAAATTCGACGAATATTCGAAATTCGAATTTTTTTTGACAGCCCTAATGCAGACCCTCATTGGCAATTGTTCTACCACCAGGGTGCTAAAAGATGAGCTGCGAACAGTTAGTTCTTCTGATGATCCTGTTATTATAATATTCATATACCCATGACTAGGGCTGGGTGATGTCCCAAAAAAATTCTCGATATGCATGTATTGCTCTGAAGTGGTCTACAATGGTGCTCATGACTGTACAGATTCTGCATATTTTTTTTCACATTTTCTCCATGAATTGTGAGGGACATTCTGCAAGATGGATTTTAAGGAATAGTTCACACATAACTCAATAATTTATTGACCCTCAGGTCATACAGGTCACCTGTATGACTTTATTTCTTCCATAGAACACAAAGGAAGATATTTAGCAGAATGTTCATGCTGCTTTTTACACACTGTAAAAGTAAATGGTGATCAGGAGCAGTAAAGGTCCATAAATGACCAAAAAACCATATAAAGTTAATCAATATTGCTTGTACACTATATTCCATGTCTTCTTAAACCATACAGTAGCTTCAAGTGAGGAACAGACTGAAATATTTAGGCTACAATCTGCTGAAATTCTGTTTCATGGAAGAAATAAGGTCATGCAGGTTTGGAATAATGGTAGGTCAATAAAGCCATAATTATAAATTTGGGTTAACTATCCATTTAAACATGGGCAAGCATGTTAATTGATGGTTGAAAGCATGATCAAATTACAAACATGCAATGGGTGGCGAACTTTGAATTCTGTGGAAATCTGCGGCGCTTTCTAGAGAATTGTCGCAGACATATTCATGACATATAAAGTCATTAGGAACAGTGATCAAACATTATTTACTTACACATGGCCCATTTACTTTTCATTTCACTGGTTGACGATAAGAGCTTATTTCAGGGAGTCAAAGTTCAGGACCCCGCTTGTCTGCTCAACAGTGATCAGTGGTGACTTGTTTTGGTTAAGCGTGTCTCTGTCCACTTTAGCTTTCTAATGGTCTAACATGAATGACTTCATGCCTGTTTTCTCCGTCCCACCAGTTAGTCTTTGCTGGAAGTGTATTGTTTCTCCTGGTTTGTGATCTCTGTAAGAGCAGCGGGATTGGCCTTTGGAACACCTTGCCAACTGGGTCCTGATAACATCAACAGACTCTGTGTTTGCGTTGTACTTTTATCTCTTTATGGCCGTGCATTGAGAGTTCAACTCCAGCATGAAGACCCCATGTTCTCTGTGATGTGGTCCAGTGGGAGTCTGTAAAGGGAAAGACAGATGCTCCACCCCAATAAGACCTCCCAAACGGTTAGGCGTCAGAAGAGAAATGGGGGCTTTTCTCTGTCGGAGTCTGTTGTGATAACATATAAAGACAGCTGTAAAAGCAATATGCCACTAAAAGCTGAATATTGCAGTGTTTTTAATATGGTAAAGATGTGTTGTTAGGCATATTGTTATACAGAGTGGCTTATTTCTTTTATGAAATGTTAAAAACAGTGTTCAGCAATAGTTAAAATTAAATTGAATAGTAAACTCTGCTGTTCAAAAGTTTGTGGTCAGCAAGTTTTTTTCATTTTTTTGAAAGAAAATATTTTTATTCAGCAAGAACACATTAAATTGATCAAACATAACTGTAAATGTGTTTCAAAATATGTCTATTTCAAATAAATGCTGTTTTTATAACGTTCTATTCATTAAAGAATCCTGAAGAAATCTATCAGGATTTCCTCAAAAATATTAAGCAGCTCAACTGCTTTCAACTTTCAACAAGAACTGTTTCTTGAGCAGCAAATCAGCATATCAGAATGATTTCTGAAGATCATGTGACACTGAAGACTGGAGTAATGATGCTGAAAATTCAGCTTTGATCACAGAAATAAATTACATTTTAATATATGTGACCCTGGAGCACAAAAGCAGTCTTAAGTCGCTGGGGTATATTTGTAGCAATAGCCAACAATACATTGTATGGGTCAAAATGATCGATTTTTCTTTTATGCCAAAAATCATTAGGATATTAAGTAAAGATCATGTTCCTTGAAGATATTTTGTAAATTTCCTACCGTAAATATATCAAAACTTAATTTTTGATTAGTAATATGCATTGCTAAGAACTTCATTTGGACAACTTTAAAGATGATTTTCTCAATATTTAGATTTTTTTGCACCCTCAGATTCCAGATTTTCAAATAGTTGTATCTCGACCAAATATTGTCCTATCCTAACAAACCATACATCAATACTTATTGATAGCTTATTTATTCAGCTTTCAGGTGATGTATAAATCTCTATTTCGAAAAATTTACCCTTATGACTGGTTTTGTGCTCCAGGGTCACATATATTCACATAGAAAACAGTTATTTTAAATTGTAATAATATTTTACAACATTCCTGTTTTTACTGTATTTTAGATCATATGAATGCAGCCTTAGTGAGCATGGGAGACTTTAAACATTAATAATAAAACATACCGACCCCAAACTTTTGAAGGTAGTGTATATAATAATAATAATAATAATAATAGAACATTTAATTTTAATGTAATAAATATAAAATAAATTAATAAAAATCTGAAAGTTTATTCAGCTTCTTTTCTGAACTTCCATTTTATATTTACATCATGAGACAGTTGTGCTGGCAGAAAAAAAACTCTCATGCTAAATGCACGACTTCACACCTGGAACGACCCTAAATATACCTTTGCACTTTGCAGGTGACCTTTTCATGTGTTTGTGAAGGTGCTTGTAATTATCCATGAGAAGACAGGGGACTCGCGAGACTAGCATATCTCAGAGGCGCGCGCGCTGCACATACGTCTTGCGACATCCGACGGAACGCCTTCTGTGTATGACAGATAACGGAAGTGAGAGAAAAGTGTTTATTACATTTGAAATATGGATATTTTTCTTACAAAAACGCATTCACTACAGAAGGCCTTTATTCACCCCCCCGGAGCCGTGTGAGGCACATTTTATTATGAATTTGCGCGCTTTATTTGACGACTTGTGGACTGTTCAACTGCAACACCCACTGACTGCAATGATAGAGCTTGGACTAGCCAGGACAATTTTTAATATAACTCCGACTGGATTCGTCTGAAAGAAGAAAGTCATATACATCTAGGATGCTTCGAGGGTGAGTAAAACACGAGCCAATTTTTCATTTTTGGGTGAACTAACCCTTTAAGCTTCAGGGTTGGAATTTCCGTCCACTGTCTCTGAGGTTTGAGGTTGGGTGGGATTGTACAGTAATTTGTTTGTGTGTGTGATAATGCTCTGTGTTAAATCTGTGGTGTAATCCTCTATTATTTCAGATTTTATCCCAGACGTTTGATCCTTTAAGTCCTGTTGTTTTTAGTGCTGGGATGTTTGTTGGCATACATGTTATTCAAGGGAGCTAGACACAACGTGATAAAGCGACAAACAATAAAAGCCATGTAAAGAGTTTTTGTCTCAGCCTGCTGTGACTGACAGGCGCGTTTTTTGATTTCTGTTTTTGCTGCTTCAACTGAGTGTCTCCACCCAGAGTGAAATTTCATCCAAAATCCAGTTGTGCGTGCAGAATTTCCTCTGTCAGAGTTGAAAACTGTCACGTCCGGTTTGGCCACAATGCACATTACTGTTCAAAAGTTTGGGGTCAGTAAGATTTTATTTAATATTTTAAAGAAATTAGAAGTTTTATTGCAATAAATTAATAAAAAAGTGACATTAAAGTGACATCAGAAATGTTTCTTGAGAAGCAAATCAGCATGATAGAATGATTTCTGAAGATCATGTGACACTGAAGACACTGAAAATTCAGCTTTGCATCACAGGAATAAATTATATTTTAATATATATTCACATAGAAAATATTTATTGTAAATTGTAATATTATTTAAAAAATATTCCTGTTTTTACTGCATTTTAATCAAATAAATGCAGCTTTGATGAGCATAAGACACTTATTTCAAAAACATTAATAAAATCTTACTGACCCCAAACTTTTGAACTGTAGTGTACATTAGATAGAGACTCTACACTGTACAGGCTCAACAATATGCATAACAATAACCAACAATTTTGTATCAGCAGAAGAATCGGCAGATGTATCATTTACAGTCTTTATAGTTTGAGAGT